TAGAGTTTATTACTAATTTTAGAGCAGAACTATTAGGAAAATAAAAGAGTGTCTTCCACTCAATCACATGAAAAACTTAGTTATGGGCTAGTGGTTTCTCATTGTTATAGATATGTGGAGAATACCTTCACAGCTTCAATGATATCTTTGTCAGCTTGTTTGATGTAGCACCCACTAAAGTCAGTAATTTTTTCAGTAAAGCAGCCATCGTCATCAACAGCTACAGTTAGATTATCCTACAGGCAAAAAATACTATTTCAGTAACATATTGAGAAGGTAAGGATCCAACAAACTTAAAAAAAATGAAGGGAAAATCTCATAAGTTTTATGTACTACCACCAAGTTTGCCAGTACAATTAAGTAGCAAAGAGAAAGTCATCATAAAGATGCAGCATTGTATCAATGCAAATACGGAAAATCTTACCTAAAGAGAGAGGAAAGATAAACGTATGAAGGCATGCAAATTGATGATTAAGAATATGTATTCCATTCACACAAACGTATTGGGCCCCTATCATTTCAGGAGGGAAATCCTTATATAATTTTATGTTTATAAAAGTACAAACCTTGCTAAGGATTTTATTATCAATGCAAACACGGAAATCATCTTCACCAAAAGCGGGGGCACAATGGACAACACCAGTACCACTATCATCAGTAACATAATTGTCGGCAACAACCCTAAAAGCTGTATCAGATAACTCCTTAAAGTAATCAAATAATGGTTCATACCTGCAGAACATGTCACCTTATGAATTTCAATACTCAGTACGCAAAATGTTATCAGAAAGTCCAAAAATAGAAAATATAGTGATATACTGAAGTTAACTAATATAAAAGATTAATGCAGTAGAGGGAAGAACTGCTCACTTTGTCCCCACTAATGAATCCCCTGAAAATTTCTCCAGCACTTCAAATGAATCTAAAACATTTTCCGTTTTTCCTCCTGAAGCTCCCTTGGTCTTTGTATTTTTATTCTTAGAAACATCATTTGAACTATTAACAACTGCCTCTTTGGGTTTCTCCTTCGGGTTATGGATTGCAGATAGACGAGATTCAGCAACAATATAAACTTTACCAGAGTACTTATTGCGAACCTGATTTCATCAACTCCAAAAATTAGTGATCAAGTAACAAGAAAATAAGGAAACAACATGTGTGTTTGCGCACCAAACAAATTAATAAAGGATGTAACATTTTCAATCCAACAAATAGCAATACGAAGTGTAACATAAGCGCACTTCTTTGTAACACCTTTTTCTTTAACATTATTGTGCGCATTAGTTCTTCACTATTCAAGATATTTTTGTTACATGAATACATGTTTTATTACAGGGATGGAACAACTAATCATTAAAGGCAAAGGCATATTGAAAGATTGCAATCAAAATCTTCCTACCACTCAAAAATGACGAAATTGTATTTAATTGAAGGTAAAAATCACAACTCTAATATCCATACTCCAGTTCTGGCATAACTTACCAAGCTAGCAACTTAATTCTACTTCGTATCTATATATGCATATGTATAAAATTATGCTCCAACTTAACTCCAATTCAAATTAAGCAAGTTTGAAAGGCAAAGTTAGCGGCCTATTAAGTTCCACATAAAGTGAACCAACCTTCACATAGGTAAAATTGCCATTGATACACAGAGCAAGATTGCTAGGAAGAGTCCATGGAGTCGTTGTCCATGCTACAAAAGATGCGCCATGTGGATCACCCAGGACTGGAAAAGTCATGAATACTTCAGGATCAGATACATCCTGTGCCAACAACATAGAATTTCAGATGCAGATACAGTTGCAACAACATAGAAGAGAGTACTGATTGAATTAATTTCTACATAAGCCCTTGTTGTAGAAGAAAAAAACAGTAGAATCAATTAAGCCTCTCTCATAAGCTAAAATAATTTTATCCACTTCAATAATGCATTGTACCTTCTTGCAGACACAGATTAAGCTTCACCTGATGTTTCTAAAAGCTAAGTTTCATAAGTTGATTTTAGCTCATAAGAGATACTCAATGATGCATTTTAACTTCTTATCAAAACAGAAACTAGATAAAGCAACAAACAAGTAGGGTAAATTGATTGCATGTAATCACCACTAACCTTATAATTCTGCCCAGCCTCGAAATTCGAGAGCGGAGTTTTGCAGCCAGTGCTGTATGGCATGACCTAGAACAACAACACAATGCAGCTAATGTGTTGAAACAGAAACGATACAAGACAAATTGAACCAGAAACAAAGTGTAACGAATACCTTGAAACCTTTATAGACAAGGTTTTTAGCGTACAACTGAGCGAAAACCCACCACACTGACTCCATGAACTTGAGGTCCATTGTCTTATAATCATTCTTGAAGTCAATCCAGCGGCCAGTGCGCGTGATGACTGTCTCCCACTCGGAGACGTAGCGCGTGACGATGCTGCGGCACTCCTCGTTGTACTTGCCGATTCCGAGCTTGAGGACATCCTCGCGCTTCTTAATGCCGAGCTTCTTGTCGATCTCGTTCTCGACGGGGAGGCCGTGGCAGTCCCAGCCGAAGCGGCGCGTGACGTGGTGGCCGGTCATGGAGTGGTAGCGCGTGACGATGTCCTTGATGGTACCGGCAAGGATATGGCCATAGTGAGGGAGGCCAGTGGCGAAGGGAGGGCCATCGTAGAAGATGTACTCGGGCTTGTCCTTGGTGAGAGCTAACTGAGTGTGGAATGCGTCGATTTGAGACCAGAGTTCTAGAATCTTCTCCTCCTGCTTCGGGAACGTGAAGTCTTTCCCTTCGCAAACGTCGTCCATGCTTCCCTTCGATGAACACGCAGCGGCGGCAACAACGCACACTCAACAGGAATCAGGGTTTATGTAACAGTGACGGTAAGTCTATTCAACTTGAACTGTAATTGTTTTGTAACTCAAGAAATGGACAATATGGAGAAACTAAAACAATAAATACAGTTTAGGTCATATTTTTGTCATTCTCGGAAGTATATAAGTGTAAATGTTCAATCGTTATTAAAAAATTTATATTGGAGTACCTTTTATTCTTATTATATATATATATATATATATATATATATATATATATATATATATATATATATATACAGTTTTTTTTTTGTTAAAAGAGTTTAAAAGTTATATTCCCATGAAATCAGTGAAATTCTTTTCTAATTTTATTGTAAATTTCTTTTTTTTTAACTCTTATTTTAATTATTTTAGAATTTAAAAATATAAGCAATTAATCAAACATATTAGACATTTAAAAAAACGACATTTCTTTTTTTTAAGCGAATAGTTATAGATTTTATGTTGGCTAAAAACTATAAAAAATACATACCTATATATATATTCTAGGAATTTTCTTAATCAAATTAACACATCTTCCATATCTTTTTCTTATTACCATTATAATATTTCAAACTCAAATCCAAATTAGACTGGTCTATTGAAGAAAGACTAAATTTAAAAAAAAAAAAATTGATCAACTTCAATTTTTTGGATTGATTTTTAATTATATTTATCTCATAACCTACAAATTATTTTTAAATTATAATTTGAAATGAAAACTGTAAAATTAACATTGGAGCTGTTTGATGGTTTTAATTTGAAAATCATTTTAAAGCTACGAGTTTTATTTTATTGTATCAAAACAATAGATTATGGTTGAGAGGGAGTGCTACCATACATGGCTTATCTTTAGAAACCATTTATGTTAGCTGAAGTTTTAAGAGATTTTCTTCCATAGCTTTGGCCCAAACTTCTCTTAAGAAGAAAAAGTTAGTAGACTCATTTGAAATGTAATAGAAATGTGTGCTTAGATTAACTGAGTCACAAAAACTATATTGGAATGTGGCATATAGTGAGTTACAAATTGCCCCTTGGACTACTAACGTGAAGATACTTTTGAGAATAAGAACAAACATTGTTGCCAATACAAATTACTAGTAAGAGAATAACAACAATTGTTTTGTCACCAGAGACTCTAGATTCAGAAAGATAGTTAGCATTGTATGGACAATTACCATTGGAATACATGTTTAAGAGAATAATGCAGTTAAAAGTATTGTTGCATCAAGAAACTTCATCCCTATCAGAAATAAAATTTGATTGTCCAGTCTTCAACTGATGAAGGAGTTTAAGCAAGTAAGGCATCTCTTGTTGAGTTTAAGATGTCCAGAGATGATTGCAAAGTAGTATGGTTTCCTTTCACTTTTAAAAATGCTCAGCAAAAGAAGCAACAAGACAGAATGCAATGGTTCAAAAGAAAAACTTGAATACGGCCAAATATAATAAAATAGAAGTATGCTGGATAAAAACAATTATACTAACCATTTTATGTTTGGTTTGGTAAGCCAATTATTATTTTTCGTTAATTTCAAGTTGTTATGGGTCATGACACTCAATTACGTAGATTTTACACGTTAAGACAAATGTCTATTAATTAACATTTTAAGGCACACCCTAAACGAGAAGAGTGGAGGATTATTTAAACACTTGTATATGTTTCGGTATAGTTGTTTTTTTTTCATACGCTTATGGACAATTTGATAGGTAAAAAGTATTTGCTTAAAGGAAATTTAAGGAAAACGATGCTGGAGATGTAATGATTTTAGGGAGGATTATTTTATATCATGCGGCAATAGGCAAAAACAAGAGAAAGTGAGCAATTACCTTGACTTGCCGTCCGTGTAAAGAAGTTTTGAAACTCACTTACTGACTGGATATAACAAGACCATGAACGAATAATAAAAGCACAAAATCATGATGAGTGGATATAACATAGTCCACACTGATCTCCCTAAAACAACATTCATTGGGCAATCAGAAGCTCTCTAATCCTAACATATCCGTGAACAAAATTTTCTACAGTTGAGTCATTGAAATTCAAACGTTGATTACATCAAGGGTGATGCAGTACAAAACAAACGAATTTCAACATGTTATTGACGAATGCTAATATTCCATACAAAAAATGACCATCCGGAGAAATGTACTAGCAGTATCAACGCTTGACCCATTGGAAACTTTTTCTTGCTTTTGCCTTTCCTGGCTTTTTCCTTTCTACCACTCGCGAGTCCCTTGTTAGGAAACCAGCTGATCAAGATTCAAGAAAAAACTAGCTTAGTTTATCATCGCAGTGGAGCATAACATATAAAACCCACCCACAAGTAAAAAACTAATAATCCCCACTCGGAAAGTTCGATATGGGAAATGATTAATCAATAGTTTTGTAATATGGTAGGAAAACAAATCTTGTGTAACAAAGTAAATCAATGGAGAAAAAAAAGGCAAATAGACTATATACCATTTCTCAGTGCAGGTCGCAAATCTGGTTCCCAGTTTTGCAAAGCCTTGCTGATCCCCAATCGTATAGCTCCAACTTGCCCTGTTGTCACGAAACACATTTCATTGGTACCCATGTGAATGATAGCTAAACAAATTAACTTTGACAAGTTATCCAGTACGTGGTTCTGTCAAACTTCCTTTGTGCACAGTTTAGTCAGTGTAGGATTTATCAGGGGAAGTTTAATACACATGTCTATTGGGTGATATATCAAAGATCAAGCATTTATTTGTCAAGCTTAAATGTTCATGCTGTGATTTGCTCAAGAGCAAAAATTATAGCAGAACGTATTTTGCCCTAAATAAACCAGAAAATATAAAGACACAAAAGGATATGAAAATATAACAATATTACATAGTTGACTGCTTTTCATATTAGTGAAGGATGTAGTCATGTAGCATATACATATAATTCAGTTCATTATTATTTTGTTTTTATTATCTTGAATCAACATAGTGTTTTTCTTCCCTGGTCAACTCTAAATTAAAGAAAGCTCATGATTTATATTACAAAGGGCACTTTCCAAACTCCTAGATTAGTTCAGGCAAGATTTTTAATTCTACAACAATTAAGTGTTCTAAGTGGGTGAAGTCAGCTACATATATAGAAGTTTGAAGGCAGACTAGACAACAGATGTTCCACAAACCATAACAACCATCTGCTAACTAAAACTAAAGAAGCTTTAGTTAAAAGAAATAAGATCAACATACAATGAAAAGAAGCTGAGGCCAATCACAGGCATTCAAATATAGAAACTAACTAAAAGTAATCAAACTCACCTGAAACACCGCCTCCTTTCACAGTACAACTGACATCCCAGAGCCCCAAAGTCTTTGTCTCAGAGAAAGGTCGAAGGAGAGTAGCGCGATGATCAAGCATAGGAAAATACACATCAAACTCTTTATCATTAACTATAAATTTACCGTTACCAGGCTGAACCCAGACACGGGCAATACTGCATTTTCTTCTTCCTGTTCCATAAGCACGACCTTTGTCATCAACTTGTTTCACTCTAGCCTTTGCAGCTTCCTCTTGCTTCAAACGCTCCATTTCACCTCTAGTGGATTTTCTAGTATTCTTCTCATACCGCATGTCTTCAATTACACTAAGAGGGGGCAACCCATCGACTCCATCAAAGTCTTTCAACGCAATCAAACTGTCAAGCATTTCATCCGTGATTCCAGAAGCAGCAATCAAATCACCAAATGCACGTTTTGGGCCTGCAATGACAACAGGAAAATAACATCACCTACCTAAATAAAGAACTAAACACTAAATAAACAAAAAAAAAAGCCATCTGTACAGAGTATAATACATTCTCATTCAATCACAAAACAGCATCATAACTATCCTAAACCCCAAACTTTGATAATAAATAACTATCTTAAAACTCATTCCAGTGTAAAAGTGCATGCCTATTAAACTGTAAAGAATAAATCATAGAAAACAGAGTCATTTAGTATGAATCAATGATATCAGTTCGAACCTTGCAAGAATTATATTGATACTTGCATTAACAAAATACATACATAAAAATCATAAAAATGTGGCGTCAAAGCGTAACCTTTGAGAACAGCAGTGAGAGCTTGCTCTTCCTTCTCAAGCTGTTCAACGTCCACTTTAGGCTTAACATCCACAACAGTAGTCTCCCTTTCATGTTCTACATCCTCTTGAAAATCAAACACATCCTCTTTGTCCTCTCCCTTCAAGCTCCAAGGTTTGAAATCCTCTCCTGCCCCAATTCCAAAATTTCCCGCATCAAAAGAATCACCTCCACCACCCGCGTCTACACTTTCCTCGTCGATCCCTTTAAATATAGAATCCTCGTCTTTCTCATCGAGACCCTTCTCATGCAACCACCCCTGTTCTTCCTCTTGCAGCCACTCCCGTTCCTCTCTTTTCCCACCATCTTCATTTATTCCGGCGAGGCTTCCACTCTCCTCCTCGAATAAAGCTCCGAACTTCTCATCGGTCTCCCGGAAATCCTTCCACACGCGGGACGAGAACCGGTCCTTGTCATCGCCGTTGTCGCCGCTGTTGGTGGAGAAGTGCTTGGGAAGAACGAAAGTGGTGAAGTAGGATTTCGCAGGTGCGTGGTGCGGTTTTAACGGAAGAGAGAGGAAGCGACGGAGATGATAGGGTTTGGGGATTAAACGAGAAAGCATGGTGATGAAGAGAGTGAATATGAAGTTAAATTATAGAGCGAAGGTGATATCATTCATCCGTGTATTGCGTGAGAAGAGAGTCGCCGGAGAGTTGACGGTGGTGATCGGAGTGTGTGTGGAAGAGTGAGCAACCGAGGCAGGAGGGGACTACTAAACTTAGGACTAGGTTTACATAACCAAACAGAGACCTAACCGTCGTCGTTTAACGAAATAGTCGAAAGTTGTTTAATTTCTTTGCTGTTCGATTAATTAACAAGGGTTTAAGAAAGTCTATATATTTTATTATGTATTTCGGATAACAAACAAAAAAATTACAAAGGGAAAACGCATTTTATTGTTGAAAACACACAATTGCATTCTATGAACGTTTTTAAGAGATAAAATAGAAAAAAAAATGAACTAAAATTATTTGAAATATAAGTTAGAAGTAAAATTAAAAAAAATATATGAATGAAATTTTACAAATTAATTTGAATATAAATTAATTTTAACTAATAAAAAATCATTTTATTTTTTCTATTCATTTTTATTTCTTAGAAATGTTTACGGAACCATTTATCCCAGCGTACCTATATTTAATGTGTGAATAAAATTATTTACTATTTAAAAATTATTATTATCATTATTATAATAATAATAGATAGAAATATTTCTTATTGTTTAAATATTTACAAAATCTTAATATAAAAATCTAACGTTTTTGTGATCTAGACGTTTTTTTCTTTCAAAATTCACTTTTTCGTTAACCCAAATATATATTTGTTTATATTTTTTATTAAATATTTTTTTTCAGTTTTTTTAAAAATAAATAAAAAAATTATTTTTTTACATTTAAAATAATAAGTAAAAGACAACACTAGAAATAATTTATATATATCATCTCTAAATTCATCAAAATATTTTAAATATAAAAAATTATAATAAAATAATATTTTTAAATAAATAATACCTCCTAAATTATTAATAATAATAACATTATTATTAAAGTGAACATTTAAAAATTAATATTAATAATATTATATTATATTTTTTTATGAATATAATAGAATACAAATATTTTTCAAATTTAAAAAAAAAAATATATATATATATATATATATATATAATATTTTTTTACATTTTTCATATTTTTATATCTTTTAATATTGGGTCGTGAATTAACCCATTAATATGGAGTGGAGGTAAGTGCCAACCAAGCAACAAAAGCTGGTCCATTATTTTTTATGTTTTTCATTAATCTTATGTTGGATATTTTTTTTGTAATATATATATATATATATAAAGGATTACTGACTTAAAAGTTAAAAAATTATATTTTTAATGAAATTATTAAAATAATTATTATTATTCTAATATTATTAAAAAGATCTAATATTATTCTAAAAGTTTTGAAGAATTTAGATAAATACCAATCCACTTATAATGTACTCTTTAAACTTTCATTCACCCATATTAATATTTAGAAAATTAAATTGATTTGTTAAAAAACAAAACTTATAAAATAAAAACTCTTGTTATTATGATAAATAAAAATTACAAGAACGTAATTGAATGGTCAAATAAAAAGAAAAATGCACAGTGGTAATATGAAACTAAGTAAATAACTTTTAATCTTAATCATTACTTAAATTTACAATTCTCAGTTATTAGAATAAGAAAAATTCTTAATTGCTGTAAAAAAGAAATAGGTAGAGTTTAGGAAACAAATATAGACATGCATTTTATATATATATATATATATATATATATATATATATATATATATATTATCTATTTGATATTTATATTATTTTACATGTTTGTTCATATGGCTCATCTCCCCGGGCTTTTGAGCTGAACACTAGTACTATTTCAGCCTCTGAAGGAGTTAAGTTGTTAACAAGAATTTGTGTCTGTACATAAAGTGCTTCTGAGCAGATCCCTGTCATGTGGTGAGAGATTGAAGACAATATTATGATGTTGCTAGTGTAATCCAATAACTTTCCAAGCATAAACTGTTTGGAGTGCCAATGATCCGTGACCAAGTCCATTCTTTCTCCTCTACAAGTTGTAATTCTGCCAACTGCCATATGTCATGATGTTAGCTGAAGAACTGTTTAGTATATAAATTTCAGCACCATACCATAACACCTTTTCAGTATCTTTGCTTGTGACAGTTTGAATTAGCAGATTGGAAAAGGGCATTGCCAATTCCAAAAGGGGTGGAATTCAAGCAGTTCAGTTATCTTGTATGGTGCATGTTTTCAAGCTAGTTATAGTATTATTTATTATTGCTGCTGCCTTGTAGAGGAAAGCTCCAGCAGATAATTATCAAAGAAGTTTGACAAATGTGAACTTAAAATGATGCTCAGAACCTGAATCTTTATACAATACATCCTCCAAGTTTTTCTTCTAAATTATTACTTTTTAAAGAATGGATTATATATGTGGTTGGTTATAAACTAATAAGAGTTTTCCATCAGATAATTGAAATCCTAGTGTGATAAGGTTCTTACCCTGCCATCTATGAGCTCAAATATGACAGAACCTTCAGAAAATGGAATTGGTCTTGTGGATGCCACCTGTGTTGCATAAGATTCAGAGTCAATTCTATGTTATTGTTATTTATTTATTTTTTTAATTTCAAAATACCATTTTGTCATTTTTAACCAGCTAGTAACTATGGACTAATTTTTACCTTTGGCTCACAATTTAAGTTAACGTCAGCAAGATTATCAGGGGCCTTGTTCAAGCCAGATGCACAATTTCCATCAATCTGAACTGGTTTCTCCTCATTGAATCCTCCACTATGCGCTTCAACAATTTTATTTCCCACATAGGGGAAGCCACAATCCTTCCACTTCCATGCATTATTGTCCATGTATCTCAGGTATACTCTTCCATCAGAACCAATCAAAAGTAGTTGATTTCCTTCAAAGCTAGGACCAGGCGAACCAACCAGTGTAACACCTTTATAAGGTGTTCCATGTTCTACCCAGTTCCATCCATACCAAGTATTCCACTGGTACTCGACAAGACCACCTTCCCTTGAAAGCATGAAGAGAGAGCCTGAGAGTGATTTTGTTGATGGTCTTACGACTGTTCCAGGAAACTGGGATAGAACCAAATGTTGAGACTGGTAATGCTCATGCCACAAATCAGTCACTTTGTTATACTGATATAGGCGACCATTTCTTCCAGTGACAAAGACTATATTTTCCCTGAACAATTCCTGATCAACTATGCTTGCAACTTTAACATTTTGTGGATTTTTGCAATCTTTCCATTTAAACTTCCTCATGTACACCTGGGTAAACATGTAAATATTTATTTCATCTCAAGCTAGTGTAGCAGTATTTGATGTCTAAAGAGTTTATTCCCTGAAAATTTTAGTATTCATTTGTGGAAAATAAGACTTCAATTGAAATACTTTTAACTACATTTATGCCTTTTACTTTGTATTGTGAGGTCACAAACTTTTGGAGAGATAAGTTCTTACCGGTTCAAAGGGCAGAATTACCAATGTTTAAGACAAACTGCAGAAAATACGGAAGTACTGTCATATTTTTGTTGAGAGGCATACAATCATTGACTTGTCTTTGTGTAACACCTTAAGCTTTTTGAAGTGTTATTCATTCAAACTTTTAGCATCTTTTATCAAGGCTTGTTTCTTAAGTATTCTAACTTCTAAGCAACTAAAAAGTAGATAGGTTGCACTTATATTATCATCTTGTACCTTATAGTTTAGTTTGAGAAATTGTGTCACTGTTTACCTACCATGAACTGCAGTAATCTTCCATTTTTGCTCACAAAGAAGATTGAATCTTCAGTTTTAGCCCTCCTTGATTTACCTGGTAATGCATCCCATGGTTGACCTCCAATAATATTTCTCCCTTTCCTCATAGCAGTACAATTCTTCCATGTTATCTCGTTATCACTCCATTCTCTTAGGAACAAACTCCCAAACGTATTAACCATAAACAAACTTCCATTATAGTTCCCCACAATACCATTCATAGCTGAGGTGCTATCATGCCTCAACCATACCCACAAATTCTCAATACAAACGTATTCGAAAACCGAACCATCATTGCTTATCAAGAAGAATGACTTGCCTTCGTACAACAGTCTTAAGCGGAAGTTCCTACTAATCCAGTCATCTGGCAGATTGTATTCTTCTGAAGATTTATTCAGGTCACCACCTGTGCCTAGAGACAAGTAGTAACTCTGTGTTTGGCTTTGCTTTCTCCTACCTGTTACTGAACTTGTTCCTGAATCATTTGACTCATCCTTTGTGCCTGTCATGCAATTCCGGGGGCCACGTTCTTCTGTGCAATATTCTGCATTCCATCCTTCACTCTCTGGCACATCTAATACAGTCCAAACATATTTGGTTGATGCTTTCCTTCGAAAGTTTTGTGGTACAAATGGACCTGAACTTTCACCACCTAATCCTACTAGATGCAATTCTGCAAGTCTACCATCATCTAGTGCATACAGTATTCTCCCAACTTGTAATGGTATGCCAGCTATACCTCTTGCTGCTTTAGCATGTAAAGGATGCTCATGACTTCCCCATGCTTCTAGACAATGATTATTATGAACAGTGCCTGTTATCATTAGCGAATTCAATGTCTAGAATGTAGTATTCATATTGAAAACTATTGCTGGAACATGAATATTTAATTCTTTCAGAGACAGTAGTCTATATCTTATTCATCTTCTCTAATTTTATTCTGCCTATGTGGCTTTCAATGATAGAATAGATATTGCAAATACTAGTTATTCTTATCAGTAGGAAATAACAAGAAGTGTTTACCCATGTTGAAATAATGAATCTAATCCACAAATAATCTTGTTAGTATTTTGTGTTGCTTGTGTATAAACTGCAATAATCTTTCAAGTTTTTGACAGATTATGAACTATGATATGGATTTGAGTACCTAACAGTTAACTATCAATTGATTACTCTGGGTTCATAATTATCAAACAACTGAAGTATAGGTAAACTATGTAAGAGA